GAGGGGTGGGGGTGGGGATTAGGGAGTGAAAGAGCCTCGGGAGAAGGAACATGAAGATGGGTTGATGGTTGGGTGGAGCTGCGTGTTATTGAGTTATACGGAATGTCTGCTGGATGGAGTGTCGGTTGTGTGGAGGAAAGTTTGGTTGTATGGATGGATCGTTAGATGTATAGCGTAGAAGAATATCTAGAAGGCCACACGACAGACTCAACTATGATTAGACTAATGCAATGATTGTCATGCATGGCGTGGGCTGACATCATTGACATTAACTCTACGTTACCGTGACGTCACCCTCGGGCGCGACTCCCGCTCTGACACACACGCCCGCGTTGTCTTACAGTCGATGCGTTGGTGGAGCCGGCTAGGTTGAAGTCACAGTTTGTCGTGCACCACCTGGCAGGGACGAGCCCCGTTCTCTACAGTGCCACCAACTGGCTGAAGGCGGCGCGAGAGAACCCCGTGAGTCGGTTAGCCTCCACCGTGCTGCAGGACTCGCAGAAGTAAGTGCGCTCCCTGGGAACAGGGTTCTTCCTGTAGCGACCGTCTCCCGCGAACTGTCTTCTTTTCTCGTGCGTGTGTTCAGGTTTCCAAACGTACTGCGAGGGCCGTTAAATCGATGCCCGAAGCTGCCCTTTTCTGTTACTTACGCTGAGAGGGTCTATGTCCCCCAGGGTACTGCCGGAACGTACCCTGGTACTATCTAATATGCCGGACTGTACCTCGCCTACTCCACTAACGAGTCTAGGGAGTCGCCTATGCCTACTCCCTAACCCTAACCCTTACCCTAACCCTAACTCTAACCCTAACCCTAACTCTAACCCTAACCCTAACCATATCAAATAGTTACCAGGGTACGTTCCGGCAGTACCCTGGGGGACATAGACCCTATGAGCGTTACTTACGGCGTCCCAGTGTAATGTAAGTGGACGATGTAGCTGTGTGTACTTGGCGGTAACTTGTTTTCAATGTTCACACAAACTGCACTTCATACTCCATTCTTCCCGTTCTATAGCGTTCCACTTGTGTGAGCCTCGACATAACATTCCTTCTCTTTGCACCAACTGTTGCAGTACCCTAGAATAACTGGCTTTAATGCATCTGGTATTGCTTGCGAATCTATTTATAATTCTAAACTCGGCAGTCGATCGACGATGACTCGGTCGGCAGTTTTCTTTGCTTTTTGCGAGAATCATTACTCATAGTACGAGTGATTCATTCGCGCGCGTACACAGCAGCGCAGGACAGTCATCCTGGCCGTATTGATTGTTTGCGATGCGTAGAGAATGCGCAGAGTGTGCTGTGTCACAGCTTTCTCAGCTTACCCCGGCAGTAGAAGCAGACTGCTATGTCGCATTCTCACCTACGCTCACGATGAGCCTTCATTATATACGAGCAATCCAGCTCCGGATTGCCAATATTTCATCTTGATTGTCACTCACGAAGCTCGCAAAGTTGGCAGAACTGTACATAAATGCGAAAACAGTTGAAAATCGTTCTTCGTCCCGTCGTCGTTGTCCGTCATCTCATCTTCGTTCTCCCATCCGGTCGTGTGCTCGTTAATTTCCTCCGTCCGCCGTCCGCGGACATTGCAAACTCGGTTACCACGGGGTCAATCTCGAAGGTCGTACCCAAGGACGTTCTCATGGTCGTCTGGGGCGACGACGACGCACGGCGGACGCGCGGATGGATGTTCTTATGTTGCTGCGATTCTCTCGTCACCAGGGAAAACATCTGCAACCTGTTTCTGACGCTGCGAGGTCCCGTTCCGTCGGTGCTCAGCGGCTCGTGCGTCGGTATAGAGGGCAGCACCTCGCTGCGGCGCGCGTCCAGCATGCGGCGCACGCACACGACGGGCGTGGCCGGCACGAAGCGCCGGTCAACCGCGCTGCAGGTCAAGTTCCAGATGGTGAGTGAGCGAGCGGCGTCAGTGAGTGAGTGAGGGAGCGGCGTCAGTGAGTGAGTGAGGGAGCGGCGTCAGTGAGTGAGTGAGCGAGCGGCGTCACAGTCGCTGGTGCTGCAGTGACCAGCATTTTTATTTGATAATAAAATATTGGAAATTTTTTTGGATAATAAAAGATAGGAACTAAAAATTTTGATAACAACAAATAGGGCAATTTTTTTTGGATAATAAAAAATAGGGAAAAAAATGTGCTCTTTAGGCCTAAACTGCTCCACTCTACTTTATGGTTTACTCTGTATATTTTACATTATACCTCATATTGAGTTGTATTTTTTAACTCATTAAAAAGCTAGCTAAGAGTTTGGAAGGTGTATTTAGTAATAATAATAACAACTAATAGTAATAACTTTTCATGTTAAAAAGTATAACATGTATTGATAAGTATACCACGGCTATATTAAATGTCGTGTTAATCGACATTGTGTGTGTGTGTGTGTGTCGCAGGATGGCATCGTGGAGACGCTGCGACGCACCAGCGTCCACTACGTACAGTGCATCCTGCCGCAGCACAACGCCGGCCTCTGCGACCTCAAGGCGACCTTGTCGAGTCCTACGAAGAACCAGAACGCCGCCGAGGTCGTGATGAACGTTCCCCTGGTGCGCAGGCAGATCCGCGGGGCTGAGCTGGTCGACACGCTGAGGATGAACAGACAGGGTATGGCGGCATTTTCCAATATAAAGCCATATCGGAAAGTCCCCGCCGCCATATTGAGATCAGATAAGACGGGTGATAAGTTGCCTATATATAACATGGTTAGGGTAGGACTAGTCTTGGTTTTTGATCTATAATTCTCTTTACTAACATCGTACTTCAATTCACAGGTGCGTTTCTGTTTACAGAAACATCTACAAATATGATTGTGGTCATTTGGGATATTTTGCAATGTTTGTGTTAATACAAAAACTAAAAGCGCACGAATGTTTACATTAATCATGTATTTTACGTAGCGTGCCGCGGCCATTTTATACCCCTTTTTTTATGACCTAAATAACACAGCTGGACTTTCCGATATGGCTTATATCCTCACTCGTGACCTCTGTTGTTTAAAGGAATGGTTTACATATATGGTAATGTGTGTGAGTGTGTGATGAATGAAATAATGATGCGTTTGAGTAGTTTTATCAAGAGTTAATAATACATTTATAATGACATATACATAATAATACATTTATTATTACATTTATTATTAGCTCGGTTTTGTTATTATAGCGGCAGATGAGTGAGAAATGCTAACCTTCTAATGAAAATACAAGTTAATGGGAGTGATAGGTGATAGGATGTAAATGGTAAAGTAACTGCATTTCGACAATTTCCTATTGGGTTTTTGGTCAAGGTCATCTTCAATTATTTCCACCACCATTGTGATTTCACATTGGTGAAGAAAGATGTGAGTGAACCAAGTAATAAAAGCAGAGCGTGCGTTTCTAAGCAGCTCTCATCGCGATTATAATGTATGCACAACATACCTTCGTCTATGCATTCACGTAAAATTTTATACCTCCACAAAGCTGTGAGGGTAATGACTACAGTTGGTAAATGTTACAGAAGGCAAGAATGCGAAATAGATCTATTTAAGATATAAGTACAAGTATCCGGCGAGTACAATGAATTCACCCTAGTTCGTGGTTCACAGAAATGCATCGTATGCAAACGCAGCCTGAAAAATGCATCCAGGTCAGTGAATATTCCATACCGATTTGCATACAGTCGTACATACAAGGGCCAGCAAGCGCTTCAGCGGTGTTGGCGTACGCCAGAGCGTCATTGCTGCGAGTCTGCGACACATCGCGCCGTGGTAGCAGACGAGTCAGTTGGGCAGTCATCTGTACGAGGGGCGGAAGATCGCAGTGCAGTGCAGTGATATACCAGCGAGTGGATTTAACAGGCGTAACCTTAATACAACAGCAGAGGCTACTGCGTAGTTAGTCGCTACAGATCTGGGAGACTGAGGAGGAACAGTAATCCTAGATAGCAGACGAGTCTGTGCGTGACATTGATCCAAGCAAAGATTGGATCATCACTCGACCCAAGAGCGAGTGAGAAGAGCATTAAAACCTGACTCATACATGCGGCGTTGCGGGGCCTTCACCTGGATGACAGACGAGTTGGTGTGTGGCATCTAGCCAGAGTCCAGTACTTGCCTCAGGAGTAAGCGCGAGAGAGTATCAATAATTCTAGATAGCAGACGAGTCGTGCGTAACGTCAATCTAACCAAAGATTGCATCATTACTCGACTGAAGAGCGAGCAAGGCGACCATTAAAAACCTGACGCGCACATCAGTTTTTCCCCGCTGGGAGACGAGTCACTGTGCGGCATCTAGTTCAGTACTTCTCTCAGGAGTAAGCGCGGAAGCGTGCGCGACCGTCATGGCGTCGTCGTCGTCGTCGTCATCGCCCCGCCCGGCGTTCCCGTTCCGCGACCTCGCCTCACGAGCCGCGCGCTTCTGCCTTACAGGCTACCCGGACCACGTGCCGTTCGCGCAGTTCCGCCGCCGCTTCGAGATGCTGGCGCCGGCCGAGGCGCGCACGACGGGAGCCGTGCTTGACGAGCGACGGGCCGTGGAGGGAGTCATGCCGCACCTAGACGTGCAGCAGTCTGCCTACCGCCTCGGCATGAGCATGGTGAGTTATATAGTAACACACGCGCAGGGGGTGGGGACGAGAGACGGGCCGTGGAGGGTGGCTAGACGTGCAGCAGTCTGCCTACCGCCTCGGCATGAGCATGGTGAGTTATATAGTAACACACGCGCAGGGGGTGGGGACGAGAGACGGGCCGTGGAGGGTGGCTAGACGTGCAGCAGTCTGCCTACCGCCTCGGCATGAGCATGGTGAGTTATATAGCACACGCGCAGGGGGTGGGGACGAGAGACGGGCCGTGGAGGGTGGCTAGACGTGCTGCAGTCTGCCTACTGCCTCGGCATGAGCATGGTTTATGAGTTATACGTGTGCATGCCGCCAGCATGCTGGGGCGGGTATATAGCGACTAGCTAATCTTCTTCCCTATTTCTTTTCCACCTAGGAAAGATTTGCTCCCAACTATAAAAAAAAATAAATTGTGTATAATCTCCACCAAAAAAGCGCAGTCTGTTGCCTTTGGTACAGGTTAAGTGTACAACAAGTTAAAAATGTTTAAAAAAAATTTGTATAGATCTTCACCATGCGAGTCTGTTGCCATTTTAGTACGTTACAGTTACAAATTATAAAATGCTTAAAATAAAAATTAGTATAATTTCACCATGGCTGGCTGTTGCATTTAGTACAGTTACAGTTACAACAATATAAAAAATGTAAAAAAAAAAAAATTTTAATCTCCGCTTTATCGTCGCCGACTTGTCCCGACAGGTGTTTTTCCGCGCGGGCGGGCTGCTGGCGCAGCTCGCTGAGTCGATTCTGGGACTAGAAGCTGCGCGACCGTGGTGACGCGCTTCCAGGCGCGGGGGCTGCGCGGCCGCTTGGAGCGGCGCGCTCGAGAAGCGGCGCGTGCAGGAGCTCGCCGTGCGCATGCATCCAGCCGGACAACCATCAAGAAGTGCGTGGCCCGTGCGCGTTTGTGTCGTGGTGAGAAGCTTGTTACGAGGTGGTGCCGACCTGCTCGCGGCATCGCACGGTGGATGAGCTGCGATGCGAAGGAGGTGAGGGTCGGGGGGGGGGGGGTTGAGAGCGGGAGGAGGGGGTGAGAGCGAAGGAGGAGAGAGGTGGTGAGAGCGAGGGAGGAGGGTGATGCGAAGGAGGATGAGAGGGGGGGTGAGGGGGTGAGCGAGGGGTGTGGGGGTGCGAGGCGCAAGGAAGGTGAGAGCGGGCGGGGGAGGGGGGGCGTGAGAGAAAAAAAACAAGCGGGGGGAAGGAGGGGGTTGAAAGGAAGAGGAGAGAGGGGG